GCATCATGAAATTAAAGTCATAGTATTTTGAGAATGAAGTCATAGCAATATGAGATTAAAGTCCTAATATTATAAAGTCAAAATTACGAGAATAAAATCGTAGCAATATGATATTAAAGAGTAATATTTTGAAAATTAAATAAAAATTAGGAGAATAAAGTCGTAATATTTTTAGAAAAAGGTCAACATTTTGAGAATAAAGTCGTAGCATCATGAAATTAAAGTCATAGTATTTTGAGAATGAAGTCATAGCAATATGAGATTAAAGTCCTAATATTATAAAGTCAAAATTACGAGAATAAAATCGTAGCAATATGATATTAAAGAGTAATATTTAACCTAAAACGTTGCTACCGTATTTTTTACGGTAAAATTACGGCAACCACAGCTGCCAGTTTTTTACCGTAAATTTTTACGGATTTTTTTTACAGTGTATTACTATTGTACGACGGAGTTTTAGATATGCGTAAAAATATTGAAAATTACGAGAATAAAGTCGTAATATTTTTATAATAAAGTCAACATTTTAAGAATAAAGTCGTAGCAATATGAGATTAAAGTCCTAATATTATAAAGTCAAAATGATGAGAATAAAATTGTGGCTTTATGAGATTAAAGACATAATATTTTGAAAATTAAGTCAAAATAAGGAGAATAAAGTCGTAATATTTTTAGAAAAAGGTCAACATTTTGAGAATAAAGTCGTAGCATCATGAAATTAAAGTCATAGTATTTTGAGAATGAAGTCATAGCAATACGAGATTAAAGTCCTAATATTATAAAGTCAAAATTACGAGAATAAAATCGTAGCAATATGATATTAAAGAGTAATATTTTGAAAATTAAATAAAAATTAGGAGAATAAAGTCGTAATATTTTTTAGAAAAAAGTCCAAATTACGAGAATAAAGTCGTAATATTTTTATAATAAAGTCAACATTTTAAGAATAAAGTCGTAGCAATATGAGATTAAAGTCGTAATATTTTGAGAACACAGTCAAAATAATGAGAATAAAATTGTAGCATTATGAGATTAAAGTTGCAATATTTTGAGAATAAAGTCAAAATGATGAGAATTAACTCATGGAAATACAAGATTATAGTCATATTATTTTGAGAATAGTCAAAATTTTAAGCATAAAGTTATGAGAATATATCCAATGTCAAACATCGCAAGTCGTCACTCCTGAAACTTTGCAGTGTGTACTTAGCATGAAAAATACAACTTTTATTCAAATTATGAATGGGTTATACACAGAAAGTGAGCAACGATGCTCCCTTATAATCAATGAAGCAGCACAAGCTCTCCGACTGATCAAATAATCTGTCTATACTGCACAATGAAGCTCTTATTTACATCGTGTTTATACTTTGTTGGTTACAGTGAAACTCTTGGCGATTCTGACTTGCACGCCTCTGATTGGCCACTGTGTTCACACGCTGAACAAACATATCTGTGAATGAACGCATTGTAAATAGAAACCTTTGATGCTCTTCACAGACACAAATACGGGAACTCGGTACTACCCAGTACTGTGGAAAGGCTGCATCGCTACGTTTTTAAATAAGTATATATATAAGTAACAACTTTCTAAAGGTTGAAGTAGACTGGTATTATAAATATTGATTATAAATAACTTCAATCTCGTAATTGCTACGAATTTACGCTCGTAATTTTGACTTTATTCTCAAACCATTTTGACTTTAATCGCATAATGCTACGACTAAGCTAGAAATTGTAAGCATCATAACTGTACAGTTTAGGTATAACTTTGCAGTTGTTCAGCTGGAGACCTTTACAGGTCTGTTTACTTAAGATGCACTTAACGATTAGGATGCTCTTAATGACGATTTTCAAGAGCTTATTAAGTTGCAATCCTTTTGACTTGATAGAATTTGACTGACTGTATGCAATAAAAGGTTGCATTTTACTGTAAACATACAAATGATCACGTCACAGGCAGTTAATTATTATGAAAGCAATGCAATTACAATTTCAAGCACTATATCCAAAATCCGAGCACTTTTTAAACCTTGAAAATACTACATTGAAATTCAAGAATTTCCAGAATCTGTTCGAACACTGTATTCAAGATGTTATAAGAATACGGTATAATGTACATATATCTACTTATGTTTACAAAACTGCCATATAAATATTATTTAGTCACATCATCTGTCCATTGTAAGTGTTTGTGGACAGGCCCGTAACCAGCTATGAGGCCAAATTTTTCATGTTCAAAAATAAAATTTGTTCTTTGAATGACTAATTTGCTGTTAAACTCCTCATATGAACGCCTGCATGACATGTATAATTCAGTTTAGACAGTTTGCAAGAATGTTTAGCGTCCCTGGTATGAAAATGATCGCTGCGAGACGCTCACGGAGTGAACGAGGCTTAAGAG